CCAGGATGGGATAGATAGGGATGGTAGAGTACCATCTGCAGAACACGGCCCAGGTCACGTCATAAATCCAGTTCGTAGAGTCATGCCTCGAGGGTTGGATGGTCTGGATGACTCATCTGGATAATTTCCCCTTTCTCAGGATATCCCTCTCAAATGCCAGATGGTTAGCAGGAACCACTGGGGTTCTGGGTGAACCAGCACCCCCGGCTGAGAGAGATCCTGTTCTGGTGTATCTGCCATGGACGGGAGACTGAGAGGCTGATCAAGTCTGTAAACCATGGGCATCTGAGCCAGTACGGAGTGACCAGCAGGACCTCCACTTCCTCTGTGAAAATTGTCCTAACCACCCATGGGATGAAGGCAAAAGGGGGAAAGGCGTACAGGAGGCCCTGCGGCCATGGACTGTGGAGAGTGTCTGTTTCTTCTACTCCCGGTGTCGGGAACCTGGAGAAAAATCTTAGGAGATGAGCATTTTCTGGTCAGGTGAACAGGTGTACTCATGGTCAGCTGAATCTGTCAGAAAGAGATCCAGTTGAAGACACCATTGTATTGTCCTAATCTGTAGGAGATGGCGAGTCTCAGCTTCTATGCACTTCCTCTTGGAGGAATCCTTGGGGGTAGTGCAACTTAAGAAGTGGCAGGAAGGAGGAGACAGGAATTCTATTGTGTCACCCAGCCTCACTGTCTGTAACACCGAAGCATCTGTAGTGGTCTCCTTCCACTGGCGGAGGAAGACTTGTAAGCGACCACCAATGGACAGAGTGATTAGGGAGTCACTTGGCTCTCTGGAAGGGCATGAGTCCAGCCCCGCAGAAAAGTCATCTGACATAAGGCTGTTGCCTGCCCCTGTTTCTGAAGGCACTCCTGTCCTGGTATCTATCTTCCCCTTGGGAATAAGGTTGATGAATCTGGGGAGCAGGGAATCCAGATTCAGCCAGTAGAAAAGGCTGTTTATGTGAATAGGGAGAGACCTGTGGTCCGTCCACTTTTGAATAAAAGGAAGGACCTTTTTCTTGTCTTTGGTCTCTACCAGGACTGGGCAAGAGCCTCACCAAAGAGTTTGTACCCTTTAAAGGAGCTGAGGCTAGGCGCCATTTGGACTGCATGTCTGCCTGCCAATGACAGAGCCATGTGATGTAACATTGGCTGCTAAGTCTGAAGATGCGAACTTGGCCGCATTGAGCCGAGTATTTGGTGGTTGCCACTATCTTATTTAAATCTTGGCAGAGCCTGGTATCTTCAGGAGGAATCTTATCTAAGAGCTGGCAAAGCCATATGAGTGTGGCTCTGTTAAAAAATGAAGCTGAGGTGGCTGCTTTGATAGCTCAAGCCGAGGCCTGGTGAACTTTGCGGAATGAAGTCTCTGCCTTCTTGTCTTCTACCTTCATCCCCTCCATAAGATCTGAGGGAATGAGAGCAGAAGACGTGAGAATGGCCACTGGGGGATATACCTTGGGCCATTGGAGAAGAGTCTCCAGGTCAGGTCCCATGGAATACAGACTCTTGCCGCTTACAATGGGAGCTGTGATGGAACCAGGCTGTGACAATTGGTGTTGGACCATGTCAATGAATAACTGAGGAGCAGGGACCACTTCAGGTTCAGCTGGTGGTTCAATGAACAAGCTATCACACTTGCCCTTCCATTCCTTGGGTGGTTCTGAATAGCCGCTCTTCAGATCCAAGTTTGTAATGGACATGGCCTTGTAAAGAAGGGATTTAAAAAGAGTTGGTTTGAAAAGGCTGGTAAATGCAGGTCTGTCAGGAACCATGAAGGCCTGGGCTTGTAAAATGGTGCTGGTGCAGAAGCACACAAAATGGTGGCTGCGATTATGGCGCGAATGAAAAGCAATGATGGCAGGAACTGCTCCAGGCACGAAGCTGAGCTAGTTCCCTGAGCTGGCTACAGCCTGGAGCGATTCCACATTCCTTGATCACCTCTGAAGCCGATTCGGATCATTGGAGGCCAGCGTGTGCTGTTGTGGCTTGCCGCGGCTTCAAAGGAGCACTGCCACAATCATGGAACAGTCAATCAGTGGCTGAAATGGGCCTCTGAAGGGAAGGCAATGCTATTGCCTTCAAGTGGGCATTTCAGCAGCTACGATGCGACTGCTCACCCCCTCAGTGCCTAGCCTGCAATGCTGTTCTGATGATAAATGTCAAATACAAGAAAAAAACACTATTTTTTTGTTTCTCTTTCTCTGCTCATGACTGAGAGAGATCCAAGTCACACCTTATGGGCTTGACTGAGTTGAGAAACTGGAGGCAGTCAAGCCTAGGAAGCATGGCCAAAGAATCTAAAATAACTCAGACACCCGGCAGACAAACAAAATCCATGGTTGGATTCTCCAAGCAACACACAGGGGAACACAGTACATTATTGCTGGCGTAAAAATAAGTCAATATGTCACTAATAAGTCACTGATTAGAGAAAAGCCTTCAATTGTGGCATTTAAGACAAGCTGCGAAATGTGCTATAAAAAATAGGAAATCCAGAACATAATACTGCCCTCATGAAAATGTATACATAGGTGAGAAAGCCATAGTACTGATATAAAAATGTCACAATTTACTAAAATATACATTATATACTGACAGTACTGTAAGAACAAATTTGGAACACCATAAACAGACTAGGAGATTAAAATTAGAGAACATGAACAAGAATGACTCCCATACACTTTTTAGGAAGAATATTAGGAACAATAACAATAATAGATGAAAGGATTCAGATAGTTACTACCCCATAATGTTTAAGGTAATATGCACACATACAAACAAACACATATATGTATTTATATTGTGGTAATTTGTTGTAGAAATAAATAGAAGGGAAGCAGAGACTCTCTTGCAAGAGAGTTTTCTTACAACATTTTTATTTATGTTTTACTCAATTTTAGTTGTTTCTTTTTCTGTTATTCCATTGTTACTATCCAACGTAGAATTTGTTTTTTCCTTTGCCTTTCATTTAGGATAGGATAGGATGGGATGGGGTGCCTAAAATAAAAACACCACTACTTTCCTTTACTAAACAAGGGAAAGGCAACAGGTGCAACTTCTGTTAGTTCTATCACTGGGAATACTTTTAGTGAATCAGAATTCGGAGCCACTTCATTCTAGGCTTTAGTCATGGTTGTTGCCACCATGTTCAGGCACCCATTAAAATTAATGGGTGGATTAAATAGGCAAATTATGTTTTTGTTTGTATTGGATTTTTTTCTGTAAAAGGAATTTTTCTTTTGCTTAAAATGTACTGTTTAAACATAATTACAGAATTATTGTAAAATATATATACAGAATTGCACACTTCACTGGGAAAGACATAAAATATCCCAGAAGATGAGATTCCTAATGGGTGTGGTAGCTGATGCAGCCCAATAGCATTTAGCTGAAAACAAGCTCTTTCCACATTTGTAGAAAGGAAACTGCCCAAGCAACAAAGGAACACATGATTAGCTCTTAATTGATAAGATAATTTTGGCAAACTGCAAGAAAAGGAAGCCCAACTTTAATACAGCTTGGATTGATTACAAGAAAGCATTTAACTCCCTGCCACATGATTGGACAACCAAGTTCCTAGAAATATCAGGAGTCAATTTGAAACATTAGAAACTGTATGCAAAGATCAATGGCACAATGGAAGACACAGTTGCTGGTCATGGTGATAGACTGGAAGAGGTTAATATCAAGAAAGGAAACTTTCAAGGAGATTCACGCTTGGCACTATTTGTCATTAATTCCACTGTCAATAACACTAAACAACTGGACAACAAATAACACTAAACAACTATATGCTATGCCTTCAAGGAAAAAAGCAGTTTGCAAAATAAAGTCAGGGTGTCCAAAAATGAATATGTATTAAGCACATTTTTATTTCAACATAAATCAAACTCACAATGCATTGCATTTCAGTGATCCACTTTTGGTGTACATCAGTCTTTTTCAAATTTGGTCACTTTCAGACATGTGCACTTCAGCTCCCAGAATTCCTCAGCCAGCATTGCTGACAGAGAAATTCTGGGAGTTGAAGTCCACACATCTGAAAGTAAACAACATTAAGAAACTTTTTTGTACATGATTTGGGTGTATGTTTTGCTTTGCCTAGAAACTCTACCATAACAGGTAACATGCAAAATCAGAAAATATATTCCTTTAAAATATAGCAGAAAATCCTATAATAATGTCTTACAATTTTGACAAATAACAAAAAAATGCATTTCTATGTATCTAAGACACTTTGAGTATTCAATAATTTTTAAGATATATGATATGACAGTTGAGCATTAGTTAATTTTGTCTTTAAGTCTTCCTGAACGTTTATGATAGGTCTGACTGCCCAGTGATATTTTTGTTAAGCGATGCCAGAAAGCTGCAAAATATTATAACCTAGGTACTGTTTAACTTGTTCATTTAAGCAGGTACCAAAGTGTTCCAACAAGAAGTCCAAAGTATCTTGCCACATTCAATCAATACCTGTTTTTACTCAAATGAGCATCTATATGGACCATACAGGAAAAGATGCAATTGGTGGTGGAATGAACCCACTTCCTCCAAATAATATTTTCTGCTTCGTGTTGGAAGTACAGCCACATCCCTATTTATAATACTTCAATTTTTCTATGTGGACATGAAGAATTTTCTGACAGTGGCCATTTGTCATGTTTTCTAAATTGCATTTGAGTAGGCCTTAGAATTCTACAAATGTCTATAGTTATGAAGAAGATTCATTTATAAATGACTCCTGTCATTCAATATTATTCACACTGCCATTATTTCTCTTCTGCTTTATTAAATTTGATGAGCAGAATGTCATGTAATCGACTCGTATCAAATACAGGAAAGGAAACGAGAATGATTCTTAAAATTGGCTTTCTCTAAGCTAGTTTAGCTATGTAAGGTGAAGAGATTTGTAGTTTAACTATACATGTATTATGTATGTCACCTCCAGGTGAGATAGGCAGCATATAACTTTAATAAATAAACAAATAAATGTGTTTACTTACAGGTCATTGTGAATCAGGCCATAAATCTGTGGTACGTTATGATGATAGATTCCTCGCAGGATAATTAGTAATAGTATCACAACAAGGGCTGGAAGACCCCAACCCAAAAGAAAAAAAATTAGATAACGCCGTTCTGTGTGTTCATCGTTCATCACCAAGATATACCAAAAATTAACAGCCTAGGGAATAACAGAGAACCAATCAATATGCTTAATAGTATTTTAATAACAGTTCTGTAACAACAACTTTTTAGCAATATACTTATTGCAATTAGTGACAGAAAACTGACAGCAGAAAAAAACCTAGTGGTCCATCGAGTCTGTCCTTAGAGTTTTTTCCTTGCTGTTTTTGTTTTCTTTTTAATTAATTATTTTAATTATTTTTTTATTTTTGTCAGATGTTGGATGTATGCTTATCCCAAGTAAGTTTAAGCTCAGTTACTGATGTTTTTATTGTTAAAAAAAAAAGTCTAAGAGTGGCAACCTATATTTGCAACCAGTTGGTATCAAATATAAATATCCTTGGGCCTGCCTCTACTGTATAAAAGTGGTTGACATAGATTAAACCAAAAGGCAGTATGTACAACAGATAAAATATTAGATCCCAGGAGAAATAAGTTCAAGTCACCACTTTGGGTCAGGTACCTCTTCAATACATCCTCACAGAACTGCAAAAGAGATATAAAATGAAGAGAGAAACCTTCCCTCCCTTCTTATAAGTTGCCTCAGGTTTCCAGAGAAACAGAGATGTATGAATGTCAAAAATCAAAACAAATATAGATTCGTTCTGAATGAACATTAAGAAAAATATTTTAACAAGGAAAAAATGTTCATGAAACCAAAGGCATCACTCAATAATGAGAGGCTAGACCCCCACTCATTTCAGGGTTGATAGCCATCTGCTGAAGACACTTGTGCTGGGCTGCAGGCTCTGGATAAGATGACAGTTTTATGCATGTGCAACACAGTGTAAAAAAAGAGCAAGACTAATTTTGATCAGACAAACAGAAATGTATTGTTTAATTTTTATCCCTGTCACCTGAATTGCAGAATTAGCAGTTAATGTGCAAAACATGCAAAACAGACTGTCTTCATTTGTCAGACTGGAATATGTAAGGGCTATTCTGAATCACATATCGAACTGCTGATTACATCAGTGCCCATATCATTAAACATATTTGTATAGTGCTTTTAGATAAAATGAAACAACGCCAATACTTGACAGCTGCTAAAAAAAGTCTTCTGCTAGACATTACATCATCTTCATTATCATCATCATCATCATGAATTTATGTAGGAATCACTGGTGGTAAAGTAACCCCAAAACTTTTGAAGCCCAAATCTTTTCCTCTCCTAAATGAACCATTTGTAAGCATTGTATTAAATCACATTGAATTTATTCCCAATACATTAACTTTAAAATGATCTAAAAATTTATCCAGCTCATGCCTCACAAGAATTCAGCATTTAGTGATAAATAGGCAATTGTTTAAATGTACCTTGGCAAACATTTGGAAAGGTCAGAGAAGGAAATTAATGGCTACACATTTTCTTAATACAATCAAGGATCGTTGATGTAGTGGACATTTTAAATAACATACTGTGAGTGTGTGAGAGTGGGTATATGTTTGCATGCACATATGTATTTATTAGCAGCTCATCATTTTAATAAGCATATGAAGTTTTCTGTGCCCTGCATTCATTTTATAACTAGGTTGCTTTCTTTTTGTGACATTAAAAGAACAAAGTGCTAGGTAGAATGCATCTTCTTACTGCATGACCTTGTAATAAAACTAGGCCATGCTTCAGCTACAGACAGATGAATCCTGAAATTTATTTTTGTCATTCTATTTAGTGAAAGAGCTATGATCCCATTAATTCCACCTCTTAGAACAAGTGTTTTTAGCCATGCAATTTTCTAAGAACTGGTACTATGTGTCCTTACCCTTGTTTTCTGTAATTGTTTAATCACTGTTACGTATCATCTTATCTCTTATTGCATAAATGATAATACAGACACAACTGGACCTTGCAAATTTTGTGAGCTTGGTTTGTTTGCTATTTTCTGTATGTACATTCCTGATATGTAATGTCATTTTTTAATCTTGATAAATATACACCGCTCATCTTTTAGTATTCTAGAGTTAAATAGATCAAATACAAACAGCAGATCTAACTTTAGCAATATTTTTCTGTTGCTATGGTGTAATAATAACAACCAGTTGTGTGGACACAAAAAGGTACAGCCAGTATCCTAGCTGCTAGAAGAATTAGCTCATGCAGAAATTTCTAGTTTGCTGAGGAGTAAATCAGAAATAACTTGTACTTTATTTGAAGTGCAAAGATGGACAAAGTTCACATCAGATGTTGAGGAACCAGGAAAATCTGATAATAATTGGACAAGTGAAACACATCATTCATGGATAAGACAAGAGATGCTGGGATTGATGGAATACTACTACAAGAGAAGACCTAATAAGGGGGAATAAATGAAAGGAATGTAAAAGTATGGATGGACAGAAGCAGAGGTGGTATTCAGCCAGTTTGGACCAGTTCACCTGAAGCGGTAGTGTAAATCACGGGTGACCCGTCCCCGCCCACTCACCCCATAGTGAAGAAGACTCAAAAAAACAACTGGCTGTGCAATCAACCCTTGAAGCTGGAATGAAATTAATATCTTCTCTATTACAGAGCAGAATAAGCTGTTATGAGGCATAAGACCGTGGATAAACTAGATACAATCAATTCTCAAGACTGGATACCAAGACTCAGTAGAGAAGTACTATCAAATAGTATCCTAGACGAATCCAATAGAGTCCTTGCAGAATTGTTTAGTAATCTGTATTCTCCTTATTTTTTAAAAGAAAGAGCAAAAGTACATCCAGAATTGCAAGGACCTATCCTATTTACAAAATATAAAGCATATAGTTATGTTGTTACGACTTGAGTTACAGAATTTATGATATTGACTAATCAATGTTGTATGAAGTGTTACATATATTAAGCATACTACAGCACAGTTTTCTCTGTTTATCACAGATTTACTCATATCAGTTTCCAAAGATTTGGGTTAAACTTTTTTAATAACCTAAAGAAAAATTAATCCACTATGCAAGCTAATTGGAGAACTGGAATAAAGCATCAAATAACCTGAGCCTTGGAAAGGATTATACATAGCATTAGCTACAGGGAATTTTAATGTAAACATAACTTCAAGTTGACTTCTGGTTGTTAAATGGATAAATTTAGCCAGTTTCCTTAAGAACAATATGGATATTGAGGATACAGAAGGCAGAATGGGTTTGTTTAGAAATGTCCAGTACTGAGATCCAAAGAGTTCAGTAGATACAGCCTGGGCAACTCTTTGTATCTGCCAATTGCTCCTTTAAAAAGAAAAGAGTCTTCTATATTTTTACAATCTAATGAGGGCTGAGGAAAATATGTGTTTGAGGTAAGGAAGCAGCAACAATTTAATATGTTAATAGGAAATAAACACTGTGATTACAGTGGGAGTCATCACTGTATATAGGCAACAGGCAGCTTGGTATATTGGTTAAGATGCAGAACTAAAAGCCACAAGACTGTGAGCTCTAATTCTCCCTTAGGAATAAACGCCAGCTGCATGACTTTGAACCAGTCACTCTCAGGGTTGCAGTGAAAATAGGAAGTAGGAACATTAAATATGGTATTTTGCACGTGCACACACACACACACACACACACACACACTGTTATACAGTGTGTACCATTCCATTATATGTACCATTATACGTATATGATACTTTCAGTTGTAAAAAACAAAGGTGGGATATAAAGAGGAGGAGAATGAGGAGGAGGAGGTAGGAAGGAGAAGAAGAAACATTTATGCTTCTTTTTGTAGAAAAAAATATCCCCCCTAAATATAAATATGTGCTAAATGAATATTAGCCAAAAGCAAAAGGACAGCAACTTAATAAACCCAGGAAAAGGCTCAGCCCTTCTAGGAACTGTCGAGAAGCTCTTTGTTCATTGCCTGAACACTCTGATGTTCCTTTCTGGAATCAGATCCAAATTTCTGCACTAAAAAACAAAATTTTTACTAACCTGAATAAGCATCCAACTGAACTGACAAAGGTAGAGATAATGGGTAACTGAACCCAAAGCAGAGCAACTTTCTTCAGAGAGCTGTTGACTTGTGTAAGCTGAAGCCAGAAATGATATCTAGAAGAGAATTATAGTGACATTAGTTTAAATATATATTCACAATGATAAGAATGATATCAGACTCACAATTCATAATATTTTATGTATTAATCAAGCACCCCATCGTGCTATTTTGAATATGCATATACCACACTTTAAACTTTTTTCTTGAACTAAATATTTTTATGCACTTTGGCCTGAATGATTTATGCAAATACATGACTGCTAGATTATCCATATTCAGTAACTCTCAGATATATACTCTGTTAAAGTAACCAAGGATCTTGACAGGATCTATTAAGTGAAACATTTCAAAAAACAATGTGTTACTCAATAGAACCTTGAATCAGGGTTTCTTAGGCTGTGATGCTCTGAGGGTCTGTCAGCCCATCTGCGGATTTTTTTTTAGGCTCGCAGACATAAGCATTTGTCCAGGAAGAGAAGTACCAAGATCTGACAAGGCTTCAGCTCTGCTTAATCTGCTCATGCCACCTCCAGCTCCCAGCTCCAACATCTGGTGCATGCTCACCCATGCTGAGCCTTGTTTCCAAGCTTTCTCTCCAGGAGGGTTTGAGGTCCTTGTGGGAGGTGGCAAGCAGTTGAGCCAGGACCATGAGAATGAAGGCAGGCAAGGAGAAACCCTCCCTTCCCCCCCTCCATCTCCACCATGCCTTGCAAAAGGAGTCACTAGAAGATGGGAAAGAAAGGCATCTGGAGGAGTAACCAGTGGGCTGTTGAGTACTGTTTTCTGGTGGCTCTGATTGTCTTTCTACTTGTATCAACTGAAGCCACTGTCACTGTCAGGGGGGCGACCATCAGAATGTTGGATCCAGGTCATCTCTTTTTTTGTTTCAGTTGAGACTTCAAACACTTGCTAAGCAAACAATTGTAAGTCAAGGATTACCTGTACTGTATCTGAAGAACCAACGCAATGCACAGAAAAAATGTTTCAACCCACTTACATTCTGCTTTCCTTCATATGTAATAGATTACTTAGCGCCCCCCTCCCCTTTTGACAAGGGTATCTATATCCTCTGTCTGTTTTAACATCATATTTTCTAACAGGTTGCCGTCTAGTGACTGTGAAAGCTAATGGCCATGTTTGTGGCCAAAGAGACCGAAGGACACAGTTGCAACATCCCTGATGTAATTTCCATCAAAGGTTCAGAGATGGGAACAGAAATGCTATGTATCCAATAGCAAAATGCTTCAAAGTATGATCAGAGACATATTTAATGCAAAAAACATTTCAAAGTTCATACTGTAGGAAGCCTTCCCTCCTCAGATTAAGATATTTTTTATTCTTAATGTTAAAAAGAGGCAGGATAGAATATTCCCCTAAAGGAGAAACGGAGAAAAATCTTAACAAAGATTTTGCCATAGGAAAACAGCCTCAAGCAGAAGCTTGAAGAGGCTGGTCTTTGGGAATGGAGATATAATGGGGCCAATTCATTCATAAGCAAAGACACTCCATATAAGCAACACAATAGGCAAGGGACCAAAGTTGACAAGATTAGCTCAGACGAACACCTAGGATTTGCACTTCACCTTTTGCCTGTAGAGCCAGCCATGACCTCTACATGACCCCATAGGAATCTGGCAACAACTATTAAAATATTGAAGGACATATTCTTGCACAGGAACAGGCATCTCAACCACAAAGTTCCAAAGAATGTATAAAAGCCCATCTACTCTCAATCCCATTTTATCAGCCACCCCAGAAACATGCCACAGTCACTAGTATTTGGCTTCAACATAGAGACTCCCTGCCTCCATTTTATTTCAAGCATCTTTCTCCTGGCTTGGAACCAGACCCGATTTTATTTCCAACAATACTACTATGGAAAAAGTATTTTCCCTCCTTTTTGGGTTGAATTAAAAATACAAATGGAAGAAAAAGTTGAAATCCTAAATCCTAAGGAGCATTTTGAGGCCTTGAAGTTAATAACCCAAATCTGGGAATTTAAAATTGTAACCTTACTCCTATCTAAAATAGTAATTCAGATTCTGTTAATCTGGAATACTATCTCCTGCTATAAATTATTCCTTTCCTCTAGGCATTAAAGTGAATTTGTCTAGTTATGTAAAACAGAGTAAAAGCTGTTCCATCTACTTTCCTTGTGATAAAATTCATTATAGAATCTTCTTGCCAGTCTAAATTTCTACCAAATATGCAGCGCTTATTTATACAATGGAAGATAGAAATGTCGTCCATATTGGATCTCAAATATCTCTTCTGATTGGTCCATATTGGATCTCAAATATCTCTTATGATTGGCAGCAGATCCCTAAGTTCCCATTAAAGACATTCTCAGCTTCCACTAGATGGGTTTCTTGAATAGAGACAATGAGGTATTCTTTTATTTCCCATCTTGTATTTTGTACTTGTCACTGTAAAATGTTCTGAAGTTTTTGGAGATAGTGCGCATGTGCGAGACCCGGATGGCTGCCTGGCTTCTCGCTCCATAGAAGCCGGTGCTAAATTCTAAAGATTTCCAGAGCCTCCGGAGCCCACCAACAATATCAGCAAAGCCCCCTGGAAGGGCTTGGCCCCAGGAATCCTGTAAGGGCCAGCATTCCATCGGCAGCTTCCTGTGGCTGCCCCTTGGAGCAGCGGAACCACGGCGGCTCGGATCAGCGATTTACGGCGTGAGAAGATGGCGGCGCTACGCTGCCGATCTCAGCGTTTTGCAACTTTGTAACTTCTCGGCGCTCCCTCTTTCTCTCTGCCGGCTGTGACGGACTCGGAGTGGTGCGGTGAGCTCGGGGGGCTCAGTTCTTTGTCATCTGAACAGCGGGGGTTA